TTCATAGTCACATGCATCCACTTTGGCACGACATAATCGACCTGTAAGTTCGAGAAAATGCGTTTTCACCGGAGCTTGGCTGGAGCTGTTCACTGCTATGTGACAAGCAAGGAAATAATTTCTATTGTTTAAGAGCGTATTTATAGTATACCTGGGCCTTTAAATATTATATAATGCAATAAAAATCACAAAACAGATGAGTCTTGAATGAGTGGTGTACTTTTAACCCTTGCAGTGCCATAATTGTCCCTCACAAAGTTTGGTGCAATGTTTTGCTATATTTTGTGTATTTTTCTATAAATCATTGAATAATTTTTGACGAAATGGACATAAGATTCTATTGGCTACAGGTCTAGATTTAAAATTTTAAAAACCAAATAAAAAAACATTATATGAATAATATTTTTAAAAAGATGTCAAAAGTTAACTTTTGCATTCAAAGAGTTAGAATATGCAGTGAACTGTAATTAATTCAATTAGTTCTGAGTCAAGAATGTCTTGTTAGTTGCACAGGTAGTATAAGACTTACTTTCAATATCATCATCTAAATAAAGTAAAGCTCTGGGTGAACCGTGGTAAACATCCATTCGTTTAACTGGCTCTGGAGTTGGTGAAGACAAATCGCCAAGATGACCTAAAATAACAATGATTAGATATAGAGTGAGTGAGTGAGTGTAGACTGCCCTCAGTGTTCAACAACTGATAGGGATTGTAACCCAAATTATGATGAATGTGACTCACTCTGCTATGACAACATTGATTGTAAGTTGTTTTATTAAAAGAGACACATGTATGTATACATGTGTATATAATAACAACAATATACAACCACTTATTTTATCTTTGAATGCAAACAACCGGTGCTTGCCAACCAGTCACTGTGTATGTGCATCCATGCGAAACGTAAACAAGAAGCGTGAGTCTATACTGGTTACACAATTGGTTAATTGTGCCCATAGTGCACCCAAAAGAGATTTCAGTACTTGAATGAGAGAAGAATACAACAGAAGAGCTTACCATCTTTGAATATTCGTATGATTCCCCAGCCACATGATACTCTCTGTACTTTATTCTTCTTTGTTGTGATAATTCCAACTATTTCAACCACAATTACAATATTAGGATCGTTTAATGATGTATGAAAATAGACGGGCTGAAAACAAACAAACAATGAAACAATAATTTAATCAACTTCCTGTGACTCTCTAACCTCAAAATTAGATTTAGTAAATTGGATACAAGTTTTTCTAGGATAACTTGAATCCAGGCAGATCAAACTCTTCTGTATCTGTTTAGATCAATGTTTGAAAGTTCTTCTCTGACAAGATGTGCACGCTAAATCTACACTTATACAGTTAAACCGGTGTAGATGCTCTACCGGTAATAGAAGCTGCATCCATTCTGTTGCAATATATCATTTTAATAGAAGATGCTGCTACTAATACAGATTTTACAGTAGTTACAATCACTAATCCAGTGTGCTTAAATTTATATGTTCCTATATGGCAGCCATGGTTGTACTCTCTCCGGCAGGTGAAATGATTTGAAGTACATGTCCAACAAAACAGGGTAATAATTTGGTATGTTGAAGAGCTTGTCAAGATTTAGGATGATATGTCAAATTATTATAGTATTATTGTTATAATGGGGTACAGCTCTCAAGCCTCCTTTCAATATTGATAGTTTTTATACTTTAAAACATTTATATTCAGTGTCATATGATTACATTATTTTGGGTTTTACCGGTAAGTTCACAAACTTGGCAAGGAAACAATTTTTATTTTACATGTATATATGGATTTAATTTTAGTCTAAAAAGCAGTGAATAATTGATACATTTACAGTATACAGTTATGAAAAAAATTAGATACTCACCACATTGTACTGGAGTCTTGCTTTCTGGGATGCTGATGATTTGACTGATTTAGCTGGACCAACCCATGTGCGTCCAAAAAACTTTTTATAGATGATATCAAATAGACTAACTCGGATTTCATATTCAGTTCGTTTCCCTCCTTGTTCCTGTAAAAATTTCCAGCAAACAATATAGGTGTGACTTGTGTATTGAACAATGTGATGTGAAATGGAAAACAATTATGGGAATCTATCATGCTACTGTAAATGTTTAGTTTGGTGATTTGATGATATTTATGAATATAAAATTTTGTGAGAGTCACTGACACTCATAGGGCCCCAGCAAAGGAATTTGTCATCGCTACAAAATGTCACTATTTTCACTGACCTGTGAAATTTGTATGGAATTATAGTGATTTATAGAATGCGCTAACAACTGCCACTGATGCTGTGTACGGATTACGGTACCATGTCAGGCGCTCTGACTACATAATTATGAAAACACTAATATTTTGGAGTTAAACTCCAAACCCAATTTTTGTAAAAAAACATATTTGCAACTTGTCTTATGACGTACAAGTAAGGGAACATGTTAAATCTGCATTTACATGTCTGCAGAAATTTTTGCAATCAATTTTCTGAAATAGGTGCATTTGTAATTTAATTCAATTTCAGTTCTTTGTTCTGATAATCTTTTTGGAATTGCAAAGCTCAGACAGGGTAGATCTAGTGATAGACATTTTGACATTTCCAATTGACGAAGACTCACATGCATGAAAACAAACTTGTGATTGGAGTATCGTGGTTTATTGTATACGTATATATATCATATATATATGCCGTCAACCATAGAAACTATTTTGGGAAAATGGAATAAATTTATTATTATACTGGAAAATAATTTATTTTCGCTTTTCTTACTGAAGGGATGATTCAGTGGAAATAAATTATTCCATTTTTCGTATATTTTAAGGCAACTCAAAAAATCAATGACAATAAATTTCATACTAAACACCCTATCTTTTCAATGAAAATTAATTCTAGCTAAATGTAAGTATTATACTGATTTATGATACAAAGTAAAATTACATTGCATAAGATATACTGTACAATAAATTACAGGATATAAGCAAATTAACACAATGTAGTTAAGGCGGACAATATCAGGAATTTGAAGACACACACCTATCTAAATCTTCCATATTTAAAAACCCATGATTGAATAATTTGCTTGATATTGCATCTTGATAAAAACATGATTTAATGTAAAATGAAAGTGTACACATATTTTAATAAATTTGTTAGTTTCTAGTGTACACACATATTTTATAAATTTGTTAGTTTCTATAGTGTACACACATATTTTCATAAATTTGTTAATTCCTATAGTGTACACACATATTTTCATAAATTTGTTAATTCCGATAGTGTACACACATATTTTCATAAATTTGTTAATTTCTATAGTGTACACACATATTTTAATAAATTTGTTAATTCCTATAGTACACACATATTTTAATAAATTTGTTATCTAGTGTACACACATATTTTCATAATTTGTTAATTCCTATAGTGTACACACATATTTTATAAATTTGTTAATTTCTATAGTGTACACACATATTTTAATAAATTTGTTAATTCCGATAGTATACACACATATTTCCATAAATTTGTTAATTCCTATAGTGTACACACATATTTCCATAAATTAGTTAATTCCAATAGTGTACACACATATTTTCATAAATTTGTTAATTCCGATAGTATACACACATATTTCCATAAATTTGTTAATTCCTATAGTGTATACACATATTTCCATAAATTAGTTAATTCCAATAGTGTACACATATATTTTAATAAATTTTTTAAATTACTGATACAGGACGTAGTATTTCAGTATTTCAATTGTATGAAAACAGAGCAGGGCTCTCCTTATTCTATAATTGAGGATAAACAATAGGCCATACATTTCACAATTATAAATATAAGAAGGCCAATTAACACATAATATGTTAATTAGCCATGATGCTATGCTATTTTCCTGTGGAGAACACTACAGCTCGCTACATGTAGAAATTCCCAGAAGCTGATGATAGCCTTGAGCTAATATAGGTCACATCTTAATCACTGTCTCATTGCAAACACATCCTGTACATGTAATTTATATTCTTCTCTCTTGTGAGCAATACACATACTGTGGGTGCATTAATCATCATAATAAATGGCAGTAAACATGATTTGTATGAATGTAAAACTGTCTTTGATGGTAGGTCTCAAAATAAATCATTTACTAGACATGAATACAGACATTTAATGATTTCTACTTATACATTGTAACTACATATTTTAAACTAATGTTCTATCTAGGCATGGTCTTAGGGGAATTCTCAAGTCGATTAAAACAGCAATTACTGTATTATTTATTATCACACATCTGTCAATATATTCTATAAATTTAAATATGCCATAATTTTGCATAATTTTTTTTTTTTGAGACAGGTATCTGCATCCCATAATAATAAGACGACTATGAGATATACCCAAGAAGGTGGGCATTACACTAATTTTCTCAACATTTAGATCAAGAAGTCTGTATTAAAAAGATTATTATATAAGTACTGCAAAATATTCATAAAGACGGAACATCAGAGTATATCGGGAAAATTCCAAGGCCAACACTCCAACCCTCATTGTTATTGTACAGTATATGCAAATAACTATATTTTACCTGAAGAAGGGCATGTACCATTAAAATGAGAAGGTACTGGAGTGACATGGTTAGGATTATAGTTATGGGTGAGTGAATTCTAAAGAACTCATACCGACGTGTCATTATGAATGACTTTAATATGATGACAATTACACACCATTGTCATTTGCGTAAGCACATCTGCTACTAAGAACAGATACCACATTGGCAGTCTCATTTTTACAGGGGAATAAAATATATACACATATCAACATTTGCTCTAAAAACACATCGTCAACAGAAGTAGACATTTGACTTTACATGACTATAGACACATCTCTGTAATGAGCATAGGACAGCCCCCTTTTTACTGTATACACCTCCCGGACTCGCTCTTTCTGACTTCTCCTGTAGGACCAGGATTGGCCGGCTCCACACCCAATCACTAGTAGCTTGTATTTGTATTTATATCTTTTTATATTTTATGCTTGTGTGTTTATGAAGCAATTTTTTGTACTTTGCCTTTTTTTCTATTTTACCGGTGTTTTATTATGGCTATGAAATTAAGGATTTTCATACTGTGCATGGTGTGTAATTACAAAAGCATAAGCTCTACTACCAGTGACAGAACAGTTTCGGTAGTGTTGACAGCATGTTGATATTAAACCATGTAGAAAGCACACGTGAAAAACAAAAACTGCATCTATCGGTATTGTATGCTGAATCATTAAAATACGACTTATTTTGATCATAGTTGTATGTCATTTACATAAACACATGCAGTACTTATAGAGCAAACCTTGTAGATCTGTTGATGACAATAACATGAATATAAGGAAACTCACATGTATACTTAATAGCATATACTTTACTTCTTTATTATTATAATTATACTCTTTATTGTAATTTTACCTATATATCTCAACAGACATTTGAAAACAATAAAGTTATTATTATTATTATAATGCCATTAGGAGCAAGATGCATGCCACAAGGCAGCTGAACAAATGATCAGTGACAATGAACTATTTGAAAACACTGATGATGAATACTTGTATATCAAAACAAATAATTTAATAAATCATCGTTCAGGGAGGGAACAAGATCTTGGAGTTTTAATTATGTAGGCACAATGACAACTAAAATGAGCCCTACTGCAAAAGCTAAGCTGATCAGTCAGTATAACGCTTCACCGACAGGGTAACCAGTGATGAGGTGATGTTATGGGAGGACAACAAACCCATCGCCTAGCAACTATGTTAGTAACAGCATAATATTGACTGCTATGTATATGTGTTTTGTTCTTATCTATATTCAAACGAATGATGATATAATAGAACTGCAAATGTCAAAGAGCTATAAATCAGAGAAACAACACCTGTAGTGGAACACCTTTCATTGATATGATAATAAAAGCATGTTGTGTGAGGCTTGATATAAATGTGCAAGCAGCAGAAGTTAACAAAGCTTATCACAGCCATTTGTACAGACCCAAGACAACATGATGGAAGCACAGCATGCACCTAGATCAGTGAAAATAAACTTCACACAAAACGACCAAAATGTTTTTTAAGCGAAAATTAATTGCAGCTAAAGTATTTCACATTATAGTGTTACTGAATAATTATACTACATGCCTTGGATGTGGAGGTACATTTTTATGCATAAGGGGCTGACCATTGGAAACTCAGGGAGGGAGGGGTGGGGATGGGTAAATTTTGATAACAAATTCTACAGAGTGAACCTTGGAAAAAATCTCTCAATGTAATTTGACTAACAATTAATGAAATGAAAAGTACAAAACAAAAATGGAAACTGTGGAGTTGTTTTCAATTTTTTCTGAGAGGAAAAACAAAACCTTTTGTGGGAGGGGGGGGGTGGTTTAACCTATAACTATACTTAAAATGATTAGCAAGATTTTTCGTTTTCTTACAAGATTGGCAGTCAGAGTGCCAATAAGACGTGCACAATAAAGCATATACCAACCATTTGTCTGTTATTTGCAGGATGCCCAATTGGTACTGGTAATGATTCCTCTTTTCCTTTCACTTCTGGTACACCATCAACAAAAGAGAAATTAATCGCGAATGGATATGATTCATCTCTCGGAGCTACTTCTCCAAGATAATTAACAGTTGTTCTACGTTTATCCGCCGGCAATACTCTAGTCTCCTCATACAGTGTTTTCAATTCTTTCGTCCACTCATCAGCTTGTGTGTAACGTTTAATGACTTTCGGTTTCGCAGAAAGTTGTCTTTCCAGTGTTCCATTTCGAGGAGTCTCGCCATATTTCTCGTTTAGAAATTGTTGCCATTCTTCCGAGTCCAAGAGATGTAATGGGTTGCGTACCGATGGCAGCGGTGATCCAGACGGACTGATAACTGTCACTACTGGATTGTTTGACGCAATGTATGACATGTTGGTGGGTACTTCTAGCGTCATCCCTGTATAGGATCATAGGGTCCTGTTT